GCAATTATTATTAGTAAAATAAATGTAATGAATATCGTATAATTTGGGTGTACAATCAGAAGCTACAAAAGATTCTATGGTTTGAGAAGGCATGCCTAGGTGGTTTTTCAAATGAACATGCCCAAAACGCGATTGATTCGAAACATATGCAATTAAAATAACAAATAAAAAAATCAAAATTGAAAAACCAAAAGAGAGTAACCCATATCTTCTTCTTCCGTCTAATATACTCACAAACCGTTCTTCTTCTTCTTAACCTTGATTTCATTGATAATGTTGGTTTTGTGGTAGATTGTTTGCTTTCACTATTATAAAGCCTTGATCTTTTAATTTTCCACCATTATGCATTTTTTTGCATTTTCCGCATTGATAACCCTGAAACATAAGCATAAAATGAGAAAAAATTATAAAAAAATATCCCTGAAATCTTTTTTCAACATTTTGAGGAGATTGATTATTTGACAAGAAAGTCTGTACTTGATCTACATATCGCTCCCACAAAGTACACTCAAGCTTGTGATATTCCAAATCCTTTCGTCGACTTTGCTTTACAATAGAGCTGCAAAAAAAAATAAAAAATTACATGTTCATCTAATAGAAGAAAAACTTGACAATAGCATGGATTCTTCCACCCTACAAAACGCATACATACAATAGTTAAAAAAAAGCATATCACAATATTGTGTTATGGAAAAAAATACTTGTAGAAGAAAAAAAGATAGAGAAGAATGTCATACCTTCCTCTGAGGAAGTAAAGAAATACATATTCTAGTGATTCTAAATCATCCCGTTAGCTTTACTCTACAACAGTGCTACAAAAAAATAAAAAATATTACATGTTCATCTAATAAAAGAACAACTTGATAAGATGAAGAAGATAAATAGACAAAGAAGAGAAAAAATATATGCACAAAAGCTAGTTACCAAATGAAAAGACGCAGTAACACATATCCTATTTATACACAAAATAATTTTGTTTTTTAATAATTAAGCCCAATAGTGGGATATTAATGGGGTTAACAATTAACTATGCATAAAGGAGTGTGATATTAATGATGACCTTTTTTCCCACCTTTAAGTTTAAATTTTGAATTTGAATACTTTTCCACCTACCAATACAAAAAGTAATGAGATAATAATACTTTTCCACCTACCCATGCAGAAAGTAGTGGATCATTAATACACGTGTCTTCCACTATATATTTTGAATTATTTTTCCCACCCATTTCAAATTTAAATTTTGAATTTTGAAGGTCATTAATATAGTTGTCTGCCACCAAGTATTTTATAATTTTAGAGACTCTCCCTCCTTTTTAGAATTTTTTATTTACGAAATAAATTTTTTTTCCAAAAGAAGTAACTTTTCAAACTATCCTCCAGTGTGAACATAAAGCTGAGAATGAAGGAGAAAGCGACACGTCAGCAAAATTTCCAAAGTTTGGTTCTCCTTTCTATATAGTAAGATTTTAAGACATGTGTTAGTAGGGGTGTTCATCAACCGATTCAAACCGCGAAAATCGAATCGAAAAACCGATAACCGAATAAACCGAAAACCGAAAAATCGGAAACCGAAAGAAAACCGCAAATTTTAATTGGATTGGATCGGTTTTCGGATGGGTTGATGAAAACCGATCCAATCCAAACCGATCCAATCTATTAATTATTCTCTACCTACTTGTCTTTTCTCCAATCATAGCCCACAAATTTCTAAACTCAAGACTCATTAACTCATCAACTAAACCCAAAAAAAAACTTAGTCACGCCTCATCAACTATAGTATTGTTTACTGATATTTTTGTATTTCAATTTTTTTTTTGAGTAAACACATTTTTTAGTCCCTGACAATATCTACGAAGTCCTTTTCAGTCCCTAGCAATAAAAAAGGACCAAATTGGTCCCTGAAAGTACAAGAAAAGGGCCACTCTACATATTTGGGAGTTGACATAAGGACTAACATGGCCCTTTTTTTGTAATTTCAGGGACCAATTTGATCCTTTTTTATTGTCAGGGACTAAAAAGGACTTCGTAGATATTGACAAGGACTAAAAAGGGTGTTTACTCTTTTTTTTTTACATAGCCAATATATACAAAAGATGTTATTTGCACAATAATCTTGAAACTAATTTTAGGATATTCAAAAAACCGAAAACCGATCCAATCCAAACCGAAAAAAATTGGATTGGATCGGATCGGATTTGAAAAAAAATCTAAACCGAATGGATGATTACATGATCAAACCGAAGGAATTGGATCGGATGAGTTTTACTTTCAAAACCGATCCAATCCAGACCGCGAACACCCCTATGTGTTAGTGTATTTATTTTCATTTTTTACTCTTTCTGTGCTGTGGACTCACTCACTTCTTAGCACCATTGTGATCTTAAAATTCGTTTGCTCAACAACCAAAGAAACATTAAATTTCTTATTCTTATCAAGACATTTGATGGCAATTTGAATATGAGTAGTTAATGCTATTCTTCATTAATAAAGGACACGGTTCCTATGCGTAACTGTAGATATTGCAAATAAGGTAGCAAATCATGAGAATTTTAAATAATGGATATATGAATCATAAAATACAAAAATAGTTATTGCTATGAAAATAGTTAATTATTATTGAATTGATTAGTTGGTGCCATCTAGCATTACCAGGAAGGGTTGAGATCGAGAAGTTAACTCCCATTAAATTTCAGATTTTCAACACCAAAATTGTGGGCCCATTATAATTATATATTGGTGTTACCAAATATTTTCTGTTTACTGTTTTTGCCGAAGAGGAGATGAGAATCTTATTAATTACTAATTAAAACAAGATAATAGTTATCATTATCATATAATACATCATACATGTTATGATCTGTAAAATACGATATGATTCATAAATATATCAAAAGGGCTTTTATATCGAACTGTACAATATTATATGTATAATACGATACATATTCTATGATACATAAATTAAAAAATAAAGATTTAAATTAAATTAAAATTTATAATATGATACCTGTTATATATCGTGCGATAGGAAAATTAAATTAAAATTTATAATTTTAATATAAAAAAATAAAAATTTATGATTTAAATTAAAAATATAAAAAATTATTATTAATAAGAAAAAATAAAGATTTGATTTGTCATTTAAACTCAAAAATAAAAATAAAAAATCTGTATTAAAAAAGAAAATAATCAATTAAATATTTTAATATATATTTTTAAATTATTTATTATTGTATTTTTATATTTTACAATCTGATACAATTCATGATACATAATACAAAAACTGACCAAACAATACACAATATTTACTGCGATTCAACAACCAGATTATTAAATTTAATTTGTGGACACCTGGTAGTGTGTTGTGTTGTCACGAGTAAATCCAGTCGCCTAGCTAGGTTTGATTTTAAAAATTTATATAATAAGCAGCAACATGAAACTCTATTTCTCATAAAAAAAATATTGTATTTTTAATAAGGAAAATAGAATTATTTTACATTTTAACATATTACAAAGTTCCACAGTGGAGGTTACCTTTTGCAATTCAAAACCAAGAAAAATTATTAAACTATAGCATATTATGTAAAGAATATAGAATATGATTAAAAAAAAAAAAACCTTTGTCCATAGGTACATAACTGATAAAATATTCTAATTATTCATAATGGATAGCTCGAGCTACAAGCATGTTTGGAAGATGTCAGTTAGCTCAACCAGTAAATTTTTTTGGAGTAGCTTGGCATGATTTTGGATTAAATTCTGAATTCATCTACTTCCCTTCATGATGTATTCGAGTAGAAAAAATATTTAATGCTTGAAAACTAAAAGGATTTCGTAGATCAAACTATTTAAAACAAAAATAAAATTTGTAAGCATGTAAGATATTTTTTAAATTCTTTTGTTTGTCAAAATTAGTTGAACTTGATGTTTCCTGTAATTCATATCATTGTATTATGATTAAATTAGTTGAAATTCACTTTTATTTAGTTTAGGGCTCTAGGCCCAAAATTTTAGTGTACTGGGTGAAGTGCCGAACCCATTGTCTTTGAAGCAGGAGTTGATTCTCTTATGTTCAAAAAAGATATAATATGATTATGGGTTATACGACTAATTATAATTATATAAAGATGGATTAATAGTGATAAAAAATGAGAGATAAAAAATATTAAAATAGATAATTATTAAATTATAATCGTTGTAAGGTTATGATGGTCCTACATCACCATGTCATATTTTTTTTTAAACATGAGAGCAATGTTATTAGAACCGGACCGGTCATTGACCCTGCCGAGGTACCGGGTCACTGGTTGAACCGCATGAACCAGATATATATATATAAATTTATATTTCATACTTAATTATATAATAAATATTTTGAATGGTGTCATCTAAACAATAACCTGTAGTTTAGTGGTATTTGCTATGTTGTATATCCTCAATGGAAGGAGTTCCAATCCCATTGGAGGCAATTTTGAATTAATTCTCTTAACTTACTAGTTATATAATAAATATATTAAATAGTGTATTTTATTCAACGCTTTTGCTCACGTGGTTTAAAGGGAAATGCATTCACCGGGATTTGTCACTGGGTCAAACCCGGGTCACATACTTAAGCGATCCAATGTCAGAACCGGACCGGTTGATGGGTCGGTTACCGGACCAACCGGTCCGATTTTAATACCGGTTCATCGGGATTTATCACCGGGTCAAACCCGGGTCACATACTTAAGCGATCCAATGTCAGAACCGGATCGGTTGATGGGTGGGTTACCGTGCCAACCAGTCCGATTTTAATAACACTGCATGAGAGAATGCATTTCCCTTTGAACCACCTGAGCAAAAGCAAAACACTTTGTGCTTATTTGGATCCTTTTAGTTTTAACTTCCTTTTAGTAACAAAAGGAGGTAGTAACTATAACTTCTCCTTATATATTATCTAAAATAACAAAATAATTCCTTTTTTATATTTATACAGTACGTATATTATCAACATTTCTGATACGTCAATATCTCTCGGGTCTGAGGGTAAGGGTTTAGGGTGCACAAGGCAGGTTTAAGCTTCCCCTCTCTGCGATTCACGATGGCCGACGACGACTATGATGACGTGGACATGGGGTTCTCTCTCTTTCTCTATCTCTTACACACAGAAAAATTAGGTTTTCCCCAAATACAATTTGCATATTTGAAACCCTCACTGGAAATTCAGACGAGAGTCATATAAGTTTTTTTTTTCCTGAAAATTTAAGCAAAATTAAAACTTTTCAAATGTTCCTCTGCTGGGTTTGATTACGTTTACTTTTTTGTCTTTTGGTTCTCGGTTGGCCACGTTCATGTACATTAACAAATATGCTTCATGCTTCTTCAATTGCATGTGTTAGAGCTTTGTGTCTTTTAGTCTGGATGTTAGCATTGAAAGATTTCTCATGGAAAAAAGGATGGTAATGCAGGTATGAAGAGGAGCCACCAGAGCCTGAGATTGAGGTAAAGACTTCTTTCTCTTATGTCCTTGTTTTTATGGTACAAATATATGTCATGGAACTTAGCATTGAATGAATAAATGGAATTATTGGTTGATTGATTGATGGGCAGGAAGGTGCAGAGGAGGACGTGGATAACAACAAAAATGAAGACAAAGACATAACTGGAGAACCTCTCGACACTGAGGAAAAGGAAGAGGGACAATCAGTAGAACGACCTCGAAAGACATCGAAATATATGACTAAGTATGAGCGTGCCAGGATTTTGGGTACCCGTGCTCTTCAAATCAGGTTTTCTTCTGAACTTTCTGAGCCTAAGCTTCTGCTTATTGATTATTTGTTATGCTATAAAATGTTGCCTTTCTGGCTGAGCAGTATGAATGCACCTGTGATGGTTGAGTTGGAGGGGGAAACTGACCCACTTGAGGTAATATAACCTTTTTTCTGTTTACAATTTGATACTTTCTTTCTTGTATTGTTACTGAATTTGAGCACATTGTGAATATTTCATTGCCAAACTTAGTATGCTAGTGTCAAATTTCCAAATATATATCAGTATGGTTATATGCCCTTCATATGAAATGCAGAAAATATTTCATTAAGAAGCTTCCTAACTTTTAGCACTTTGCTGATCTCCTTTGAATGGTGTATTTGGTCTATAATTGATTGGTACAATTTCATGAATATACAGCTAAATGCATGGGTAATAGGTGGAGTTCTGTTATCTTTAATTTGTATGTTAAGCTTGTAGATAAGTTTCCCCACGATAGCTTGTCTTCCCCTGGCTTGATCTGGACCCGTAAAGAAATGGTTGTGGGCTTTGGACATTAAAACCTAAACTGGTTTGTAATTCAGTTTGACAATGGCATGCTCTTTTTGCCATTCCAAAGATGTCTCATGAAACTTTTTTTGCCGTGGTTTTTTTTTTTTTTCCTGTGTAAGATAAGATTGTCATCATTATGGAGCTCAAGTGCTCAACTGATAAGTTCTATGAAGTACATCTGTTTTCCGATGTTGAATCTGATCAAATGTTTATTTAGGATTTAAATAAACTTCCTTAGATGAGTAGTGTACCTTACATTATTTACCGAGTTATTTGATATTGTTTTATGGTATTTGGTTTCAAGTTCTTTGGTTTCATAAAGAATACACTGTGCACTCTATACTAGGAATTAACAGCTGATTATGTTGTCACTGATTTTCTTAAGTTGATAAGAACCTTGCCCAATTCTCATGAGCATGTTCAGTTGCCTTCAGTTTGTCATGTTGATTTTTTTTGTTTTTCAAATGCAAATGATCCTTAAGTGTTTCATTTCCTTCCTGTTCTGTAGCTTTGAATTTCTCTTGTAGTTTTGACATTATTTTTTTGTATTAGCCATTCAGGATACATGTTTTGTTTGTTAGCTCTGCTATGATTCCTTCATTTTTAATTTGTATCAGTTGTGTGATAGCAATACCTTCCCATTTTATTTTAAATTACACCTAGATAAAATAATAGCAATATCTTGTTCTCACAACTGATCAGATTGCAATGAAGGAACTTCGAGAGCGGAAGATACCCTTTACCATCCGTCGGTCCTTGCCTGATGGAAGGTAAATATTGCCCATTATATAAGTTGGGCTTTCCTTTTTCTTGGTTGAGGGATGTCAAGGCTGAAACCATTCTTTGTGTCATACTTATTGTAATGATTTTTGGCAAAATTGTCCAGCTATGAAGATTGGGGAGTTGATGAACTGATTGTGGAAGACTCCTGGAAGAGGCAAGTGGGTGGTGATTAACGCTTTGAACTGACTTGAGTTGTGGGGAGGAGGAAAGGACACAAGACTTCTCATAACATTTATCTTTGATTTGTCTGACGTTGATACTGATCTATTGTCTAACCATAAATTAGGATTATTATAGCGTTGTATTAATTCTTGGGTCTGTGTATCTGTGTTGCTTGTGCTTTAGCCTTTAGCTTAGTATAAATTCTGTTTCTGTTTGTCTATATATCTGTAGGCTTTCGTTAGTAAGTGCGGCTGTTTGTCAAATCAGCTACAGGACACAGCTCTATGAACATTGGAGTGATACTACTTAATACTGGTTTTCTTATCAGCCTATTTTTGTGTTGTACTATTTTCTTGTCTCTCATGGAATCATTATATCTGTAATCCCATTCCTAAAAGAATGATGGCATAGCAAAGATCGAAATTAACTTGATAGGGTCTATTTGCCACTACCAGCTCATGCGCAAGGGCGTGTTGATAGCAATAAGCACTTGAATGTGTAATTTTCTGGTTCAACGAATGTGTAATTTTGTGATTGATATAACTGCCTTATGGGAAGAATAAAGATGTCAGCATATTCGGCTTAAAAAGTCGATTCCGATCTCTCTTTTAGCGGAATGAGAAGGGGTTTAGTAAAGAAAAAGAAAAGAATTAACTTATTTAACAAAACCAGTGAATGATTACAAGTTCACGCGCTAAGTTGTGGAGATACATTAACTAAAAGTTCTGGAGGAGTGGAGGTACATTTAATGTGCTATTTTAGTCAATATCCCTAGAGAGTGTTTTAAGTTGCTTAAAGTAGTATATCAAAAGACATCAAATTTAGTGTATTAAGTTGCTTAAAGTATTATATCAAAAGACATCAAATTTAGTGTTTTAAGTTGCTTAAAGTATTATATGAAAAGACATCAAATTTGTTATATCCGGGTTAGAAAAAACCTAGAGTTATGTAATATGGAGAGGACTGAGGAGGATAGCTGGATAAGACTCTTGCACGAGAAGTGTGTACCCTCGTCCACAAGAATAGTATAAACTATCATTACATTCGTGCGAATACAGACAAGCACGTGACAAATATCTCTTTTTCATATTTATATTCAAATAGAACGTTTTGTATAATTGTAACTGCAACAATTATGAAAACAAGAAAAACACATGGCAGTTAGCGTTTGATCCATTATTTAATTTCCGTTGCAGCTCATCACGAATGACAGATCATTCAGCGTCTATGACAGATTTTTAGCAAAGCATGTAGGCCCCAGAATTTCGGTATCATGCTTGTTTGGAAAGCAAGATCGCATACCGAATGTAGGTATTTCACTTGTACGCAGAATAAAATGCATGCATCATGCGTCTGAGAGACATGAACATGTCATAGACACTATTATTTTTAAGGTTAGAGCAATGCTATAGGTTTTTGAGTGTAATATTGCTGCTTCCCTGCCTTTTTTTCTTTCACATTAGTCAAGAATAAAATAGTTTATCATCTAAAATGAGGGGCATGTTAGTTTATAACTTTTTTGTTTAAAAATTCTTATAACTTCAATTATATATTTTGGAAAGTACACTCTTGAGTTTGTAAAAAGAAAACAAAAGTTGTGAATATAACAAGGTAATTGTGTTTATCCTTTTAAATGATACAATTTATATCATTTACTCTCACAAAGAGTGAGACCCACACCTTTATTTTTTTTATCAACTTTCTCTCCTCCTTTATTTATCTCTTCCTCTTTCTTAAGATGACACAATTTTATCTCCTTTAAAATAACACACATTTTTTCCATATAACAATACCCCTAAAATTATAATAATAAGAACAACATAATATTTCCAAATTACTTGAAAAGATGTCTTTAACCTTATAAAAGAACATTTCTTTCCTCGCATGAATTTGACACAAATATACATTTAATTCCGGAAAACAAGAGCCGTGCTTCTTGCTTCTGTCTTATTTTATCACTTTTATGCCCTATATGCATGAAAAAGAGTATTATTACCTTGCTAACAATTATGCAAGTATGCGCTCAAGTATACGCGACAACAAGTAATATAGGACTTTTGTAAGTTCCAGTTATCGTTCCCACAAGGATCTTTGGCGTTTTTGCCTTGACTAAAATTGTAATTACTAATCAGAACCAAAAATAAAATAAAATCAAATTAAGTGAATTGCTATTCTAAACCCAGTGCAAGGAAAATATTTTTGAAAAGATTTTCTTTTTCAAATAGAGATTCAGTTGATACAAGAAGTTAAACTACTGACTGGAAATTAATTAAATAGAAGCATTTATATTTTTTTTATAATTTTCTCTCAATTGTAGAACAGAAAATTAAAATTCTGATTTGAACAAAAATATGAAGTAGCAACAAAGATTGATTTAAAAACAATGTTTGAAAACAAATTGGGTATCAATTTTCCCTTCCCTCATTTGCTATTAGATTACTTTGATAGAAAATAGATGTTGCTTTTTCAACAGTTCCAGCTTAACGAAAATACTAATACAACCATTGTTTCCCAACAACAGTTTTTTTCCATAAATAACAGATGACACATCCCTGTGTATCCATTATTACAAGACCTTGAAGCACCATTTTCTTAAGTTATATGAGGGTAACTTCATCCCTAGAGCCATACCCATTGAGAGAGATCTCTCTCAACTTTCCATGTGCTTACAGAGAGGTCTAGAGGTCTAGTATGGGTTATTTTCCAATAATTCCACACCACTAGGAGTAGCCTATGTGTGGCTATCACATGATAAACTCAGCATAAAAATACACCGTAAACAAACTGAAAATTAATACTTTAAGCTTTAAATAGCAACTAATAATAAATGAGTTGTGGGTACTCTTTCAACCCAACTCTAAAAAGGTTTAGCTCATCACCATGGGTCTATGAGCATACAAACAGCAAAGGTCCATAACAAAACATGAAATTAAAACTTACGAACAAAGAAAATTAAAAGGTAGGAGCTATATCCAGAGAATAGCTCTGCTACAGTGCTCAGAAAAATTACACAAATTAAAATCCTAAAAATAGAACAGAACCAGTAAAAATAAATCCAAAAGAGACGAAGAGAAGAGAGAAGCCTACAACGCTTTTCCTTCCTCCTTTTATAGCTGATGCTCCATCATGCAAAGCGGTTCACACCTCAGCCCTCGCGTGTGCTCCACGCTCTTCCCAATCGTGCGTCTCCTTTGCTCGGGTAGCAAATGCACTCCAAAAGAATCTTCAGCCCACACTCCTAACAAATTCCAGCTCACCAAATCGGTTAAGGGATGTGTTTGGCTTTTACTGTATCAAGCAAAAGTTGGTTAGGGTTGGTGTTTTGGTTGGTTTGGTTCTCAAAAGGAACCGTGGGTGAATCTAAGGCTCTGTGGCTGAACAAAAACGCAGACCAGTATGGCTTGGTGGTTCGATTTGTTAAGGGGACTCAGGATGGAAATGGGTTGGAAAATATGAAGAGGGTTAGGGTTCGGACACAAGGTGAGTGCTTAGAATTCGCAAGTCTCAACTCTTTTTTTTGCGCTCCTGAGTCTTTCTCATTTCTTTCTTTCTTTGCTTTTCTTCAATTGGGCTTCTAATTGGCCTTCCAAAAAGATCGGCCCACTCCTTTTCTTTTTTTTTTATTCTTTTCTTTCTTTTTCCTTTGCTTTTCTTTCTTTCTATGGTTCTTTTGACTTGTATGATAAAAATTCCAGCCCACTTTTTTGTGTTCTTTTTTTTTCTTTGCTTGGACCATATCAACAATTGGGCCTGAAAAATACAAATACAAGCTCATTACCTCTACAATTAAAATCATTCATCTCAATGCAATTTGAGGTTAATATTATACACAAGATATTCTTTTCATTTACATTTTTATATTAAAACCACCTGTTTGTTTCAAGTCACATTTCATGGACTTATCAAGTATAACCAATTTTCTTAGAGGATTTTCTATTTGTGATTTGTTTGCAGGGATGTTTTCAGGAAATAATTTCAAAACTTTAAAATAATTTAAAAAAGCAAGCTCTTATTGTTTGGCATAATATATATACATATATATATATATATATACATATATATATATATATACATATATATATATACCAATAATATTTTAAATTGTTAAAATCCATCAAACATTTAAATTCTTGCAATGGGAAAGATAGTGGTTGGTTTAGGATATGGACGATATTAATGTATGTGAGCAGGTAGGTGAGTGGTTTGGAGGCACCGTCACTGTTTTTTTTTTTTTTTTTCTCTTCTAAATAATGATTTTGTCATTTTTTACCTTCACAAAACTCTATCTGCTAGGTAAGTAAACCATGATACGAAAGCTAGCTAGAGATCATTGGAATTCACAAGTTAATGATTACGCCCCTTGTTTATGCATCAATTCCATGGAAATAGCTAGAGATGGTCCAGACTAAGGAAGATGTGGTCATTGGAGAGGACAAATATTACATCCAAAGTTGTCGTTTATTGAAAATGTTTCTTGGACACTAATTGAGATTCTCATTGTTCTTTTTCTTTCTTTTCTTGATAGTGAAGGGGCACTATTGATGTTTCAGTTCAATGCTCGTTTTGATTAAACATGTTTGGAAATAGGAAGAAGATATTAGTTGTGTGAACAAGATCATAAATCCCAAAGGAAATTAAAATCAAAGTTAACAAATTAGTGTCCACCTTAAATTTTAGTTTGTATTGATAAAGAAATAGTTACGGTGACAACCATGTTGAAGGGTCAACATCCATGTTAATCCGAGGCCGGTCAGAAATTAGAATCACAAATATATAACGGTTATATAAGTATTAAACATACACAAAATTACTCTGTATCATTTTAAAAAAAAGTTTTTTTTTTTTTTTTTTTTTACGGTCAATGTAGATAACTTATCTACATTGAGACCAAAACAATGTCGTTTTGAGGCAGAAATCAAGGTATTTTTGTAATTATAATTTATTTCAGGGTTATAATAGTTTTTTTTATTATATTTTTTTAATTTTTCAACCCAAAACGACGTCGTTTTGTGAGAGAATATAGATAACTTATCTACATTTACTTTACAATCATTAAAGCCTTGAAAAAAACATATCTATGATCAGTTATCACGTTAATAGTTTTTCACATGTGTAGAGAGGGGAGGGGGGGGAATTATGTTTAGAATATCTTACAAGCACTTTTATATTTGTTGGATCAAAATCAAATCAATGGTTATAAAATAATATTAAATGAGAGTGGTTGATTTGATTTTGATCCAACAACCATAACCATAATAGAGATTGTAATTGTAACTTAGATTTTGAGTAAATTATAACTTATTTTCTTGGTTTTACTTAAAACATTTTTTTCTTCTTTAGTTTTATTTT